GTTAACCAATGGGTTAGGGCATCTCCACAAGTATAAGTGGTCAATGAGATATCGCTCCAATCGACTTAAAATTGTTTATGGCTTTGAGTCAGTATGAAAGGCTCCTACAAACTGAATAGGGTGTGGTACATGCTTCCGCTCAGAGAATCGATCATAGCACTGAGTCTGTATGAGAGACACCTCCCACCCGAATAGGGTGTGGTACATGCTTCCGCTCAATGCTCACGAGTTAACATGTTCATGTACAAATGCAAGTCATATATATTCATTTAACAAGTATCATGTAATCAGGAGAGAGAGAGGATGAGGGCGGTAAAGTACACCCTCCCCTCAGCAAGTGCATGTATCATATAGCACTTGTACAAATAGCGATTCAATCATAATAACATTGAACATGCACTTGACATTCACCAAAATTCAAGAAAAAACAAGAGCAAAGAGAGAAGTCAGATGAGCTCTTCGGCGTCCTCGTGACCACGTGAGACATGCACAATCATGATTATCTAGATACTCAACAAAGGTTATAAAGAAAACATTTTCTTGTTACCCACACTCAAGGTCACAAGTCGAGTCAAGTTAAAGGAGTTTTTTTCGCTAAATTATTGAAATAATGCTCAAAGAGAATTCAAATGGTGTTTTTTGATTCAAGTCGTGATAAGAAATCTCAATTCCAAAAGAAAGTATCATATTTACTTTCGACACGAAAATCGAGAAAAAGGTAGATCGTTTCCATCCCCCAAAACTTTTAATCTCATGTCCAAAAGTTAGAATATAAAGAACGTTCACATTTTCCAAACTAATGGGTCAAAACTCATCCAAGACTCCACTCATTTTCATGGTAAATGTCAAAGCTAAAGGTTCCAAGTTTCGAGTATAAAACTAATGAAAATTTTCAAGAATTACTCCAGTTAAACGCTCCATTTTTATGGTTCAAACTCATGGAAATCGACGGCATAAGACTAGGGATTGAAGTCCATTTCTTAAGTATGAAAAGATGTGTCGTTAACCAAGGAAGTTAAACAATCAAGAAAACGTATCAAGAGAGGTTTAAATCCTTTGGAATCTTAGATTCAAAATGAAGGTTTAAAGTTCAAAAAGACCTTGTATCCAACCATGAAACTAAACTTAAAACGGACCGACAATCTCAAAGGAAGGTTGAAAGTGCTTAAAAGAGTCCTTTGTTTGAAATCAGAAAATTTCCAGTTTGGTGCGCACTACTTGGAAAAATCATATCTTGAGTTTCGTAAGTCCAAAAATTGGAAGCTTTATACCGTTAGAAACTAGACTTGATGCACTAAAACTCTTTAGAAGACACTTTTTCTCAAACTTCAATTCGAAATCATTCAAATTTTAGTTCAAAATCACCGTTCCAGACAGGACAGAGCAAAACAGACTTGCAATTTTAGTAAACTTTGAAAATTCGGCAAAATTTGTCAAAATGAAATCAACCCTTGAAATTTATACCACACAGAATTCCAAATCTAGTTTCAAATGCAACAAACGGAACTCAATTCGGACCTTTCTACACCAAGATACAATAGAACAGATTTTCAAAATCTGATCATAACTGAAGCTACACAACTCAAAATTTAGCGTGGTTTACGGCGTCGAAAACTAGGTTCAAAAGGTTACAATTCACTAGAAGGAACTGTCTTAAAATTTGTTTTGCAAGATCGGCGAAATCAAGCTACAAACTGCAGCTAGGTTGGTTTCTCGGATGAAAACAATGAGGAAAATCAGTTATCATTGCCAGTTCACTACGGTTCATAGGAAACGAATTAGGAGGTGCATTTTATATCGTTAGAAAGCCTCGGAGTCTAGTTTCAGATGCCACAAATGGCACTTGATTTCAACTCCCATACAAAAAGTTATGACCCAAAACGTGAACACTGGTCGGAGCTCCTGGTCAGAAAATTTTCCAGATTTCTTCTTCACTTAATACTTTAACTCAACCAATTGTAAAGCTTTTTGGGAGATATTTAACACATATAAACACCAGCATATATCAAGCATTATAGCACCCAAATAATAACAAAATTCGAAATTAACATGAGAGATTCAACCAGCCAAAAATTCGGACAAGGTTCTCTACCTAGTGTCAAGGTTCTTGTGAACCCATTAACAACCCAAAGACTAACTAGATAAACTAACTAACTACTATAAGTTGAGAGGGAAAAGATGAGAACTTGGAGGGTTACCTTGCTTCCAAGAATGAAGACCAACCACTAGTGTATAAGCTCTTGAACCACCAAAGTTCCTTCCTCCTTCAAGCCACCCTTCAAGCTTGTATGAAGAACCAAGAAAAGAAGCAAATTTGGAGAGTCTTCTTGGAGGAAAATGGAAGACAAGGGAGCTGAAATTTTTGGTAGGAAATGAGGGAGGGGGAGTCGGCCAAGGGAGAGAGAAGGAAGAAAGGTTTTGGGTGGTAGTTGGGTGATTTGATGGTGTGAAAGAAAGATTGATTTGTTCCCTAAAGTCAACAATTGAATAGTGAGTAATTAGTGCTCCTAATTGAGCTTAATTTATCTCACTCACATCTAATCCCTCAATTAACTATTTTTAGTCTACTATTGATCATCCTTAATTCTCCAAGATTATTGCACCTTAGGACCGAATTTTGCCTCGAAAAATGTGAAATCGCTCTTTCTTACCAAACGAGCTGCAGAAAAATTAATTTTACTAGCGAAACGTTTTAAAACATAAAATGAGACATTGTTCCATGCAAATAAAATTAAAATGAATGAAATAAATTAATCGGGGTAAACGATTAAATAAATGATTAAATGAACCAGTAAAATAAAATAAAAGTAAGTAAAATAAAAAAAAACTCAGGTCCTCACAATTTTAGTGAGAGTTTTTTCTCTTCTTATAGTTATTAGTGAGTTTTTTTCTCTCTCTAGACTATCCTAGTGAGAGTTTTGTGTAGTTTTTTCTTATTTGTCTCATATTTAAGAGTTTTTTCAAATCTACATGTTAGTTCTGAAATTTTTTGTGTCATTAATTTTAAACTTGAACTAGTTGCAAAGCAGATTTGAGGGAATAGACATGGACATATATTTATGAAGCATGTCATGCAATTGATCAAATTTGATGGTTTGTGATTCATAGTCTAAACTTTCTTATTTTGTAACTGTACTAAATCTAACGTTTTTTAAATTAGATATATTTATGACATGTCCTATGTATTTTCTACCATTAATGCAGCTTTCTTTATCAAGCAAATCATGCTAGACGATTTTTAGCTAGTTTATTAATAATATTATCTTCTATTTTATTAAAAAAAGAAAAGGATACCTTTTGAACTCCCGAAAAGATTAGAACTACCCTTAATGTCCACAAAATTTTGAATGATATTTAGTTCACTTTCTATGAAGTCGAATGCATAGTAATAGCTTTTAAATTGCATACCCAAACTAATTTTTCCTGAAATTTTCAATGATATATTTCAGTTCTACTTTTGAATCCAAGGTACACAAGCAGTAAAAATCAAAATATGTAGAAGATGATTATAAGTTGATAATGTTAAATCTTCAAGCAGACAACTAATTAGAAAGTTAGAGATCCAATAAAAATTCATATATATATATGTGTGTGTGTGGGGGGGGGGGGGCACCATTTTAGTGTAATACAAGTGTGATGTGATTTAATGTTGAAATGTTGCCTATGCAACTTATTTTTAGACTATGGGGATTAAACACTTAGATTTTGAAATGTGAATTTTTTTGATGAGTTAGAGTAGTCGAATATTGGATAAAATTGGACCACTAGATTGGTCCTAGGGTAGTTAAGTTATTTGACAAATAGAAAAGATTGGCCTAATTCAACAGAGATATGAGAAGAAGCATTTTGTGATATATTGTGTGTTGGATAGTGATCCGATAAAAAGATCCTATCATAAGTCAGTTGACATATTTTGGTGATATGAAAGAGATGAAAAAAATTCCCATCAATATTTCTTCTTGTGATTGATTTGCAAAATTGAGAATCTTGATACTTTTCTGATACAAAATAAATTTTATTAACGGATTGTTAGAAATTGTCTAGTACGATTTGGTTTACATCTCTGCTATAGTGGCAGGTTGAACATGTATTTGAAATAACAGATTTGTTATTTAACAACAGATACAATAGAACTTGATACTAGGTATGAGTCAATGCGGCTAATAAATCGAAACTTTTTTTGTTGTGATTGATTTGCAAATTTGAGAATCTTGATATTATGTATGAGTCACTACAGCGAATAAAGATTTTAGAAGATGATTGACAACAATTGATCTGTATTGAACAAAGATTTTAGAAGATGATGCAATAATTTCAATGAAGATTTTTTGGTTGGTAATAGTGTAGAGCTGTTTTCGCAATCTTAGAACTATGTTCATGAAAAGTTTTAGTTTAAGGGAGGCATTGCTGGCATAATTAGACCAACTTTCTAATAGTTGATGTTTCCTATTTCTAGTGTGTAGAATAAAATATGAGATCCTGCATATGCAACTGAAACAAAGGCGTCCAAACGTTAAAGAAATTACATCCAAAGAGCCCCCAAAGAAACGAAGAAATTTTGCATTACACATCCCATCTATAAATCGGCAAAACGGATGAACCTCGTCCTCATTCAATTCCTCCAAAATTTCAATAGATAGATTAGCTTTTACCAAAGACTTGAGCTTGCAATTTGAGCCGATTAAGAGACTTGCAAAATATATATGCTCCAAATACTCAAGATTGGGGGTATTAAAAACAACCCTGTCTGATCTTGAGTACGAAAGCCACGACAACTTCGTTAGGGAAGGAACGTTGATATCAACTAATTCAACATCACATAATTGTACTCCAGAAACCCGCTAATCGTCAAGCAATGGGAAGCTTGATGAAAGTGCCCAGCCTGAGTTATCTCCATGCATTATAATTTTTTCCAAATCCAAGACCTTAAGATTTGGCAAGCATTGCAATTTTGGAACCTTGAGGACAACCTTTCCACCTAAATTCAAGACTACAAGAGTTTTACAAGTAAAGATTTCAGTTGGAAAGACTTCCAACTTTCCGATATCGATTGCTAAATCTATCAACCACAATGCCAAGAACTTGAACATTGCGAGGAAGCACTGAACATATCCATGAATTAAACACAACTATTTGGCCAGCCAGCTTCTGAAATCTAAGACGAAACTCACTTACAGCAGAAATTGATTTAGAATACTTAAGTAGTCTTATAACAAAATCTGTAAATTTCTTTACACCATGGGTACCTGTACCTCCATCTTGTGTTTGAGGATGGACAAGCAGAGAATCATCAAGGTCAAGTTTGGGTACACCAAAGAAAATGTACCGCCATCTGGTGGACAAAATGGATGTGGAAGCTGCCAATTTTGTGGGAAGAAATGAGAGAATGTGGCAGAGGACGCCGTCTGGCAAGGCACTGAGTCGATCTTCTTGACAATCATCATCTGGGCCTGCTCTAAAATGCTTGGCCATCTCGGTGTTTGTTTCCAGGGCTGCTTTTTCAGATAGGTTTCGATCATCTTGGGGAAATGAGCTCGCTTTGAAGCATTTGGGGTTTTCTTCTGCCATAGTCCTCGCCAGTTAGAGTGGGGAAACTGAAAATCAGGTGGAGAACGTGCGATGTTGTGGGGTGCAGCGAGTTGTCGGTGAAGTGAAGAGAGTGACGACGATGATCAGGGAGAGGAAAAAAAGGGGAGCTGCGCTGAAGGGAAAGAAGTCCCTTTGCCACCACGTCGTCCACGGCGACCACCGCAGGCGAGGGAGGAGCACCACAAGCCCCCTCTTCCGGTGATATGGTCTTTCCACAATTTGGTGGAGCGGAGAGGGAAAAGAAGCGACAATTGATTGGGAAGGGTTTTGTGATGATTTTCAAGGCGGACCATGGCACGAACAATTGTTAGTTAGTAAAAACAATTGTGAACAAGGGCACCAACGATGTAACGGTTTTTAAACAAGGTGTAATTTTACGTGATTTATTTGTAAAATTTAATAACAGATACATAATTATTATGTACAAAATTTACATAAATAATAATAAAATATCACAACTCTCTTATAAGAATATACAAGAATTTACGTAGAATTACAAAATCTTCAAAAAATGTTACATTAGTTAGGGACTCGCTCCCTTTGAGGTGGTTATATTCCAGTCAAATATTGAAGGTTTTTCTATATTTATTTCTATATTTTCTAGCATTATGTGTACTTTCAATAATATTAAGTGAATTACTGAATTGTGTCAAATTCAGTTTTCCAAAAGTTTTCAAAAGTTATGCCTTTTTTTATAGGTTTAATTACATCTACCTCCCCAGATGTTTGGCCAAATTGCCAAGTAGATCTTGGGGTTTGGACAAATAATAGTCCAACCCTTGGAATGGACAAATGTTTATCAGGAACCGCTGACGTCAACAACCATTATAAAGTGTGCTGATCTCAGCGAAAAAATCTATGTTAAAATGCCCTTATAGCACCTTACATACCATTGGAAGCAGATAGTATTTTTTATTGTGTGTAAACTGGAGCTAATTCTTTGTGCAAAAACTACTAATAAAAAAATCTAAAAAATAAGAAATATTTAAGTAATTATTTCAGAAGAGAAAAACGAAGACAAAAAAAAAAGCAAAAGACAATTTAAAAAATTGAAATCAACTTCTAATTCATTAAGGGAAATGTTCCTCGCCCAAAAAAGAAAATAATAAGCTAACAGTAAAATAGGAAAAAAAACTGTCTTAATGAACTATTTACATGTGTATTTGTTCCTTTTTGAAATAAATGAAATATCTACTAAAAATTGAAAAATTAGAGACTTTGATGCCTGACAAAGAGACATAAATCCACACCTCAATTACAATGGAGTAAAACAAAACAAAGCCTCCAAGACCTCCGTTATCATCTTCTTCCGGTTCTTGTCTCTATCCAGTCCTATCCAATCAATCTTGCTCTAACTAGTTTTTTATCAGGGATGATTTCAAAATCCTCCCTCAAAGTTTTTGACAATTACACTTAATTACTCTCTAATATTAAAAATTACACTCCCCTCCCCTTGAATGACATATTTGATAACAATTTCAGTCCCTGCTAGTAAAAACTTTCTTAAAATTTGAGAAAAAGTGCTGATACATAATTTTGTACCAAATTTGCCCTCATTGTATGTAGGAGCAGTAACAAGTCATCATTTACTTATTAGGCAAAACTATAACTTGGTAATTTTGGAGTTACAGCTGACTTCTTCCAGGGCTTAATAATTCTAGTAAAACTGATTCTGTCATTACATGTAATGACAAGCACAAAATAATAGTCCTCAAGGTTTAGGCCAGGAAGCTTATAGAGCCAGGTGGGTCAGCTTCTCAATGGCAGCAATGGATGTTCATGTTGCATCGTCTATGTTCCTCAAAACCTTTTTGAATGGCCATCATGTTCAAGTCGAGTGAATCTGGGTTTTTCTCAATCATGTTCCGAATAACTTTAGCTGCATCATGCAACAAGCTGCTCGAAGAGGAAGAACCATGTGAAACTGGTCCGCATGAAGCTCATGAGTTGTCCATTCACACGTGTGAAACAAATAAAGTGGATGTCCACGTTATCTCTAGCCTCTGTGTCACCACCAGTAGCTGCCACAGAATGAGCAACTTCCATTTCTCTATCATTTTCAAGGAATGTTGCACATTCCTCTGGGTTCATGTTTGCCGTAGTTTTAAAGAACTTGTTCGGGTATGAGCCCTCAGCAAGATTTATCTCTGAAGCAATATTCCCAACGGCATGAAGAAACTCAATTGTTCCACAGGCATTTCCAACAGTTTGTTTCATAAAGTATACTGCAGCACTATGATCCTTGATCAAGCTGTCTTCTTTTATTCTTGCTTCTTCAGTTTGTGGCGTGATGGGATACAGGAACAGCACAGCAAGCACTGCTTTGGAACCATTTCCAAAGGTTCTTTATCCAATCCAAAAATAGCTCATTTTCATGCCTCTTGAACATTTCAAAAACAAGTTCTTCAATGTTCACATCCATAGTTTCGCCACTTCTTGGAATAACACGTCTCAAATGTAACAGATAATTAAAATTCCCAGGAACTTCATGAAGTGCCCTTTCATAAACATCACTAAGAAGCGCTATGTAAGAATACTCGTCAGGATCCACATTGGGAATTCTAATTTTCTTTCCTTTGTAGTGAAGAATAATGTCATGGACAACTACACTAGGCATCCTGTTTTCACACTTTCAAGCATTAAAGGCTAGTAATGCAAGAAGCCCAAACAGAAGACAGAATTTTCCAAGTACTCAGGAAGGGGATGGGGGTGATGGTGCTTCTCTGAAGAGGGGGTGGGGAGAAAAGGAAAAGGACCAACTCTTATTACCATGGAAGGTGGTTGAGGTTAGTGTAGATACAGCAGTGCAGGAGAATGTGAAGGAGAAAGTTCAGGACAGGAAACAAGGGAGTTTGGTGGAAGGTGCTAAGAGGGAGACCTCTCTGATGTCGGGTTGTAAAAAGAAGGGGAATGAATTGGGGGGAAGCAGCAATGTTAATCAAGAATCAAATTTATGGGATGCAGGGGAGATACAGAAGGAGTGTCAGAGGGAGGATTTGAATGACAAGGGATGTGTTGACTCTATGTGGATTGATGGATCAACTATAGACAACAAGGTATGTGAGAGAGAGGGGAGGGGGTCAGATCCTGCAGATAAGAAACTGGATCAAACCAATTGCATAGGGAGGGGAGCTAGTAAGAACAAGGGGAATAGAGGGTGGAAGAGACTAGTTCGTGAGGTGAGCAATAGAGCACCTCTGAGGGACAAAAATGAGGAAATGGAAGTTGATAATGAGGGAGGAAAAAGGAAATCATGTGTGACTGTTGATAAAGAGAATGAATACCAAAAAAAATATAAGACAGATGGTAGTGGAGCAGGGCTGGAACAAACTATTGAGGTGGTGGAGTCCTACCTCAATGGGGCTCCCAAATTCCAATGAGAGCTCTGGTGTGGAACTGTCGAGGTGTTGGGAGCCCCTTGACAGTTCCCCGGCTTAAGGAGTGTGTCAAACTCCACTCCCCAGAGTTGATATTCTTGTCTAAAACAAAAAATAGGAAGGATGTTATGAATAAAGTGAGACTACAATTAAGGTATGACAGATTGTTTGTGGTTGATCCAGTTGGAAAGGCTGGTGGACTGGCAGTTATGTGGAGGAATGAGTTGCAAATCTGTAAGGTACTATATACTGATTTTACTATTGAATTGTTAATGGAAAAGACTGGTGCTAGAGCTAGATGGTGGCTGATATGTGTTTATGCCAGTAGTGAGGACCAGGTTAGGGAAAGGCAGTGGAAGATTATAGAGGGTAGGAAAAGTTTATGGGGCCAGAATTGGGTCCTAGCAGGTGACATGAATGACATTTTGTCTAATGATGAGAATGGGGGGTTGTAAAAGGCCAGAGAGGAGTTTTCAAACGTTTAGGGATTTTGTAAACAAGAGTCAACTTATTGACATTGGTTTTGAAGGAATTCCATGGACATGGTCAAATAACTGGGAAGAGGGAAAGGAAACAAAGGAAAGATTGGATAGAGTACTATGTAGTAGACAATGGAGAAAGGAATATGAGAAGGCTAAATACTTGCATATCCAGAATGATGCCTCTGATCATACTATGCTGTTGTTAGATACTGATTCATGTGGTAGGAAATGGAAAAGAAGGTTCTTCTTTGATAAGAACTGGTTAAAACATAAAGAGGTAGGTGAACTCAATAGTAGAGAATGGGGAAGGCAATAAGATGGATCTAGATTCTTCAAGTTACACCAAAAGGTAAAGAGCTATAAAGTTGCTCTTTTGAACTGGAATAGGCAGAGAGACAATAATGCTAAAAATGAAATTAGGGAGTTGAGGCAGAAACTTGCAGAGGTTCAGAGTGAAGGGTATGCAAATAGGATAGGAAAGGTCAGAGAGCTCAAAAAGAGATTGGAAGAGGCTTATAAGAGAGAGGAGGTGTTTTGGGGGCAGAAAGCAAGAATTAAATGGTTGCAGGAGGGTGATAAAAATACTAAATATTTTCATGCAAGTGTTGCAGAAAGAAGGAGAAGGAATAATATTTCATGCTTAAAAAAGGGTGATGGTACTTGGTGTGAGTTAGAGCAAGAAGTTGCAAACTAGATTCAGGGGTACTTTCAGGAGCTTTTCACCTCCAGTAATCCTCAGCAGATTGATTCAACACTGAGGGGTATTCCCCTAGTTATCACAGAACAAATGAATGAAATGCTGGTTAGACCTGTGTCAGAAATGGAAGTCAGAGCAGCTGTGTTTTCCCTACAACCAAACAAAGCCCCAGGGCCTGATGGTATGACTTCTGTTTTCTTTCAACATTATTGGCATGTGATAAAATCTGACTTGATAAATGCTATTTCCAGTTTCTTTCACTCTGGCCAGTTATTGAAGGCTATAAATGAAACTATCATTACTCTTATCCCTAAGGTTGATTCCCCAGTTTTGGTGTCTCAGTTTAGACCAATCAGTCTGTGTAATGTAGTCTATAGGATCATATCTAAAATTCTAGTCATCAGACTAAAACCTGTACTCAATTGTTGTATCAGCCAAAACCAATCTACTTTGGTTCCAGGAAGACAAATCATTGATAATGTTGTTATTGCTCATGAATTCATTCATTGCTTAAATAACAGGAGAGTTGGAACTAATGCTTTTATGGCTTTGAAGCTTGATATGTCCAAAGCTTATGATAGAGTCGAGTGGCTTT